AAAAAAAAATTTATATTAGTTGCTACAATTTTATTTCTTCTCATTTCTTCTCCAATTGCTCCTCTATCGTCGTTGGTATCATATGGCCTATAGTTAGTCCGAAGTTCCAAATGAGTTGATTGACACTGTTGAATAAGTGCGCGAAACAAATGTTGGGCTCACTAAACTGATGGACAGCTAGCTAAACGAATGCAAAACAAATGTCGGTTAAGACTTTAAGACTAATTTTACTCAAATTTTAGGTTTTACAAACAGAAAAAAACTTTTATTCTATCCAAAAAAAAAAAAACGAAATATAAATTATTTCTTTTCTCTTTTGGAGTGTTCTCATTTTTCTTCTTTTTTTTTTTTTTGTTCTTTGTTCTAAAGCACACAATTTCCTGGGCAAAAGATTAACCAACAGAAAAATCTAGAAGAAAAAAAAAGTGAACAAGAAGATGGGAGACGGCAAAGACGGCGCTTAACGGAGAACGACGAGTAAAAGTTTCTGAAGAAAGTTTCAATTTTTTTTTATTTTAGTTTTCTTTTCTTATTTATTCAGAAAAACAAAGACTAAGGAAATTAAAAAGACAGGAAAAATGAGTTTCAATTAGAAGATCAAGAATTTTTTCAATTCTTTTCAGGAACTTCTATGTGTCAATGGTAACAGTCAATAACAATGGGTCAATAACAACGGCAAAGCGGTAACGATTTTGGTTGCTTAAACTGATCAAATGCGGTGCTTGCAGACCAAAAAAATTCTCATTAAAAAATCTGATAACAAAGTAGTTTTCTTCCATTAAATAAGCTTGGTTAGTCAACACAGCGACGTACTCCTTGTGTGCCTTCCGTTACGGCCACAATTTCTGGCCACAATTTGCTGCAAAAAAAAAAAAAAAAAAAAGATTATGGTGGAACATCTTAAATTTTTTTCCGCAGGAATGAACTCAAATTGACAACAACATTAGAGGAGTCGGTAGGGATTGGAAGTGCATGCGGAGGCAACGTGAAAACTTTTGTGTCTCACCAAAAAATTCAGTTTACGGTTTATCAAAATTTTTGGTAGTTAAAGCTTGTTTTTAGGCTTTTTTGTTTCTGTTTCTGTTTTTTCTTTCTCTTTTTTTTGGCTTATTTTGTTTGCTTTCCTTTTATTTGCTTTTCGGTAAACTTAGTTTTTTAAGTGTTTTTCGCGCACCAATTTTACTTAACATTGAATTTGTTGAACGATTTCTCTTTGAAACAGTCATTTAAACAATATCCGAATAATTGACATTTTAAAATGTTGGATAGAGGCGCTCAATTGAACAGTAATACTTTGTCGTTACAAGTATGGAAGAAATATGAAACGTTCTTCATCAGATGCAGAAATGATGAATGCCTTTCAATTATCTCTATCATATAAAATTTTAGATTAAGTGAAAAGACTAGCTGGGTAAGGAGGCTAGTTGAATCCTCTAACAGATAAGATCTATAGTTAAAGTAAATTACGTTATTCCTTGTTACTTTTCCTTTTTTTTTTCTTTCTTTAAATTTATATCCGTGTACGTGTATTCGTATAATTTTTAGTAATCCTTTTCTTTTCAATTTTTTCTGCTTCTTCTTCTTCAATTCTTCCGCCAGAATTAGTTGTATCATACAGCACAAAAAAATGAAGTTCAAAAAAAGTGAAAAGAAAGAAGGGGAAAAAAAAGGTTTTTTTGCAATTGACGTTGTCATCTTCTACTGTGTCGTTGTCGTTGTCGTCATTGGCGTCGTCGTAGTTGTCGTCGTTTTTGCTGTTGTGGGCGCTGTTCTCGTTGTCGTTTGTCGCCACCGTCGTTGTAGTAGTTATCGTTTTTTCCTCCTGTTGAAATAAGTGAAAAAGTATCGAAAGTGCAAAACCAAATTACCAGATTCGGGTTAAAGCAAAATTAAAAATTGAGTAAAAACAGAGAATTATTTTGGAGGAAATAATTTTGAAGATTAAAAGGTTGATGAAAGGCGTGGCAAATCGGCTACAGCAACAGCAGCAGCATCAGCAACAGCGACAGCAACAGCAACAGCAACAGCAACACCAACAGCAGCACCAACAGCAAAATTACCACCTCCATCACAATCAGCAACAGCAGCAGCAACACCATCAGTAGTAAACGGCAGTAGCAGCAGCAGCAGCAATCTTGAAATCAGTCATCAGTATCTGGAGTGTCAACATCACGTAATATCAACAGTGATAGCAAAAGCTGTCGGTCTTAGACTAAAACCTTTACTGTTATTTTTTATTCTGTTATTACATAGTTGATAAAACAAAAGAACGAAACTATACTATTACTGTTATTATTATTATTCTTATTATTGTTATTGTTGTTTTTGTTTTTATTTTTACATTAATTTAAATATTATCTTTATTATTATTATTGTCATTAATATTACTGTTATTCAACCGTAATGATCATGCAGTCTGTAGCATTTGGCTGTTGTTGTTTGTTTTATTTTTGGCTGCTACAGTTATCGGCCATACTGCAGATCAGTACCGCAAAAGCTGTTGATGTTAAGGTCAGTATTATCCATAATGAGGTAGGTCGGTTTTATTGTTCCTTAGCCTAAAATAATCAAAAAGCATCTTCTTGTATAATACAAAAGAAAAAAACAAACAAATTATGCTATTATTATTATCAACAACATCGGTTATTATCAGCATATCATTTACAATTCTTTTCTTGGATTCAGCCAATTTTCATGAATTTGAAGCTTCACTATCTTTTTATTGCTTTTATTGCGCATCAATATCTTTCACTTGTCGTCTACATACAATGAAACATGTTGAGGTTTTTTTCGATTTTTTTTCAGGTTAAAAAATTTCTGTGGAAGTGGAGGACAAATTATTATGTTCAGTCGTTGTACACGTCTTTTACACGACATCTTTTTGTTTTTATTTCGTTTTTTTCAATCTATATTTTTTTCTTTCTTCTTTTCTGTTTTTTAATTTATTTAGTTTTTCTTATTTTATTGCTGGTTTTCAAAAAGCGTAGGAGAAAAATGGCTTTTATAAAGCGAAACAAAATTTAAAATTAAAATCGTATTGAATAGTATATAATAGAGTAATTTTTTGTTAACCTCTAAGGTAATACCTTTTGTCTTCTTAGACTAAAGAAGCATACATGCAAAAAAAGAAAAAAAAAAAAGCATTCCACATCTCTGGCGTTAAATATTGTCATCACTGTAATTATCAAATCAGTGTTATCGTTATCGCCATCAGAATCTTTATCCTTATCATTACATGATTTATGTAAAATCTCTAGTAAACACCCATTGTCTCCTAACCTTTAATCAAGCTGATGTAGTTCTAACTGATGAAAAAAGAAAATGAAAAGAAACGAAATGTTAAATTAACTTACTTCTTTCCTTTTTTTTTTCCTGTTAATTTTTCGTATTGTTCTTCTGACATTAAAAAAGTTCAACTAAAATATTTTAAAAATGCAGCAAAAAATGAAAAGAAAAAAGGAGAAATTTAGAAGAAATTAGCACTAAAAGTTGTCAAAGTTTTGTTGCTGATTATTGTCGCTTATAATTATTAAATTTGTAGTTTCAGCTGTTACATTCGTATGGACAACTGGACAATGTTTCGTTGGATGAGATCAGAGGTAATTTGACAT